AACAAGTGTGATGACAGCTGTGGATCTGTGGTGTAGAGGAAGAAATGAAAATTCTGTTTGACTTGGGTACTTAGAAAAATACAGTAGATATTACTTAGATTGGTCATCTGAGAGACGCACCCCAGAAATGCCAGCACAGATTGGTGATTCAGTGTCTGACTCACATCCCAGTCTTCCTTTCATGGCATAGAGCTCCTCCCCAATGAAACCAACTTCATCCACCAAATCAGTCTGACAAATGACATAAATATAAGTGGTCTTTTTGTCATACATTAATTCTTCCACAGCTTTGCTCATTTGAAACATGCTTGACCTGCAAATTCTCACTAGGACTATACATACTTTAATAGGAATGAATTTACAGATGGAGGCAGGTTTTGAAGAAGTTCTACTTTGGTAATTCTTCATAGGAAATGGAACTTGTTCATCAAGTCTGAGTTGTTTAGCTCAGTGGCTACGGATTATTTTTCAGTGACACACCTAATTTTCCTGAGAACAAAAATTCAGGAGGTATTTAGATATTTTGAGTAAAAGCATCTAGATTCTGATATTATTTTTCATATCTTTAACTACATACTTCACTCATTCATCCACTTAATGAGTATTCATCTTGCACTTCCTAGGGCTACACATTTTTTCCAGTAGTGAAAACACAACAATGGATATAATAAAGTCCCTGCCTTTGTAGATCTTACAGCCTAATGGGAAAGACGGACAAACATTAACACGATAATAAATACATAAAATGAGAATTTCCACATTTTATAAAGAAAATAAGGCAGGAGAGTTGGGTAGAGAGTGGTGGGTGGGGTAGGTGTATCAGTCTAAGAGGTGGTCCAGAAAGACTTCTCTAGGGAAGGTGCTTTGAGCAGAGATCTGAATGATGATACTAATTGGAGTGATTCATTCTCCAAAAACACATGTTCACAATATTTCTGTATTTCTTTAAAACTCACCTGCCTTCACAAAATTTACAAAAGAAAAAATGGAAATAGATTATTAAGCAAACGAGTAGTAGTTAAATAAGCTGCTATATCATAATATATAATGTTATAGCTACTTTAAAAAGAATGGGGTTATAATGGATATATATGTATATGTATATATGTAGTAGAAATTAGAAAGCCATAGAATACACATCCAAGACTCCACTATAGTTAAATTTCTGAATAAATGCTGGATTTTGCTGGTTTGATGAGACTTGGAAGGCAGAAGCAAGTCAGAGGCCTTCCAAGGCAGGGGCTGGATATGCCAGTGAAAGGTCACAAAGATGCAATATTTTCTGCATCAGCATACACGCTTCACTCTCCAGTCTTTGGGAACTGAGAAATGATTTTAGAAGAATAGGCAAAGACCAGACTAGCCTGTGGTGTCAGGAGGCTGTGATGCTGATATCACAGGTGTCAATGCCTTTCTGGTCCCTGACTCTTGGCTGCTGAGTTCAGTAATGCCAGTTCTGTGGCTCCCCTTGGCATCTGCTTTCTAGTGTTCTGTGAAAGATCTCTGTCAGCTCTCTGAGGACCTATACCCTTAGCCTTTCCAACAATTTTGTAGAATGTGGGTTCCTTCCTCAAATTTTTTTTCTGCTTGACATGAATTTCCTGTTCTGAATCTGACGGTTGTAGATCTATGTAGAAAGACTTCAAGAAAAAATCACTGAGTGAAATATGAGATGCAGAATGATAGTCAGCTTGATAGCATTAAAACTTGAAAGAAACAGTAAATAATATTGAACATGTTTAATGTGTATGTATTTGAATTCCTGTGTTTATCTGTGAAAAGCTAAATAAAGTATGAAAAGACTGTAATAATTTTTAAAAAACAAGATTACCCTGGGGAAGAAGGAAAGAGACCAGAATTAAAAATTATTGTCAAGAAACTTGCCTTATCTATAATAGACTCATTTTTAATAGGGAAAGTATGTTCATACATTTTCTACATTACTTTTTAAAAATCAAATATATTGTTGAATTAAAATAAAGGCTTACCATCTCTATGTATTTGAGTAGAGAAAAATCGGGGAATTGACAATAAAATATAGACTCTGGGCAGTCAGGCCCAAATTAGTATTAGCTAAAAATAAATAATTTATTGGTTTTGTAGAAATTTTCAGGATGAGATTGTTGTTTCATGACAATTGAAACACAAATTCATGAGAACACAGGAATTCTGGCTCCTGATTCCACTTCCTGCTAGTGCAGACCCTGGGAGGCAGCAGGAGATGGCTCAAGTACTTGGCTCCTTGTCACTCTCATGGGAAACTTGGATAGAATTTCCAGCTTTTAGCTCTGGCTCCAGACCCAGCCCTGACCACTGCAGGCATTTGGAGAGTGAATCATCTGGTGGGAACTCTCTCTTTCTTATTCTTTCTCTCTCTCTCTCTCTCTCTCTCTCTCTCTCTCCCTCTCTCTCTGTGTGTGTGTAACTCTGGCTTTGAAAATAAATAAATCTTCAAAAGAAGAAGAAGACAGACTGATTCACACTCATGAGATTTTAAGTGAGTGAAATAAATTCACAAATATTTGGCTTTTGAATTAACCACCTATAAGACAAGGAAACTATTATACAATTTGTATCTCTTATATCCTTTAGCTATATTATCCTTTTTCCTCTACTTTGAATTGTATTATAAGAGGATCCTTTCTGATGGTCTGCAGTCATGTGTTTCTAATTCAAGGAAAAGGTGAATATGTATTCATTTCTTACTAGGACAACAGAAACAGCTTTCCAAACTGTCTGCCTGTTTCAGTGTGTACTGTACACCCACAGTTACAATCCATTTTCTTTCTCAAAGGTGAAAGTAATCTTCGCAAAGATTGGATCATCTCATTATCTGCTCTGGTTAGGAATCTCCATGGAGTTATAATTAAAATCCAAGGTCTCTACTGTAACTACGGCTCACAAAGCCCTGCATGAATGGCCTCCTATTGATGTCTTCTTCCCTCTCCTACCATCTCACACTTACCCATAGGGTTCTCATCCCACTGACATCTTCCTGCCCCACTTTACCGTCTCCCTTATTTCTCTTTATAGGCCTTCCATTGTTCCCTTTGAATTTCTTTGTTTTTCCTTTTTCTTGCTGAAGTCCAGCTCAATTGCTGTCCCTCAGAGAGATTATTCTTTTTTTTAAGATTTATTTATTTATTTGAAAGTCAGAGTTACACAGAGAAAGAAGGAGAGGCAGAGAGAAAGAGAGAGAGAGGTCTTCCATTTGCTGGTTCACTCCCCAATTGGCCGCAACGGCCAGAGCTGTGCCAATCCGAAGCCAGGAGCCAGGAGCTTCTTCTGGGTCTCCCACACGGTCAGGGGCCCAAGGACTTGGGCCATCTTCTACTGCTTTCCCAGACCACAGCAGAGAGCTGGATCAGAAGTGGAGCAGCCGGGACTCAAACCAGCTCCCATATGAGATGCTGGCACTGCAGGCGGCGGCTTTACCCGCTACGCCACAGTGCTAGCCCAGAGCCCACTATTTTCTATCATATTACTTTCTATTTCATTTTTAACATTTCTCACAGTCCAAAATTATCTTATGTGTGTGTTTACTGCCTTTTAAAAAAATTTATTTGAAAAACAGTTACAGAGAAAGAGGCAAGTCTTCCACATGCTGGCTCACTCCCCAAATGGCCACAATAGCCAGGGCTGGGCTAGGCTGAAGCCAGGAACCAGGAACTTCATCCAGGTCTCCTGTGAGAGTGTAGGGGCCCAGGCACTGAGGCCATCTTCTGCTGCTCTTCCAGTTGCATTAGCAGAGACCTGATCAGAAGTAGAGTAGTAAGACCCAGGAGCTGGTGCCCATGTGGGGTGCTGGCGTTGCAGGTGATGGCTTAACCTGTGTACTGCAACACAGCCCCCAGCTACCTGTCTTTTCCCACTAAATGTAGGATCATTGTAGGAAGATACCGTGTATTTGGTAGTTCCAGGATACATACGTGTTCAGTAAACATGTATGACCTGCATGGGAAAGGAGTAGGGAGAGAAAGGCACCAGCAAGTCACTAATAATGATTAGGTTTGATGTTGTTAAGAGTCATACTTTATGAAAAAAGACAGAATAAAAGAGTAACACCATAAATAGCAGAGGGCTTTTTATTTTATTTTAACTGACTAAAAAAATTAGGGCTCCTTTTTGTTAGGAAACCACAAAAGGTAAATTATGTGCAGAGATTACAGTCAATCCTCCATACAATTGCATGCTTGCTGTAAGGACAGATAACAAAACATGTGCCACACTGCCCCCTGCCCTTGAGGACTTCACATTATTATTGCTGCAAGAGAAGAAAAACAAATAACAAAAGAAAGACATGAAAAAAAAAATGTAAGTATTTGCAAGTTAAAAAATCACTTATAATTCCTGATGAATATTGAATTAAACTTGATGAGAGAAAATACACGTATAGTAAATTCATCAGTTTATTAGAGATGATGAGTGCCTTTAAGCAAATAGTTCCTCTTACTTTCTCTTAGTTTCCTGTTCTATAAATTGGAAGATTTGGTCTAGATGAATTTCTGCTATCCCTTCTGCACTCCAAAATCATGTGATGTCATGAAGTACACAGACTATCTCACATATAAATAAAAAAGTAGATGTGCATGAGTTGTCTCGCACATTCCAGTGAACAAAGTGCAACTTTAATTTATAGAATTAAAACTAATGTACTTGAAAGAATAAGGATGTATGTTTTCATATTACCAAATTATGAATTTTATTTTATGTAATTCTGAAGAACAAAGTAGGGACAATTACAAAAAATGATATATCAGAATTAGAGTATTAATAAAAATATTTTGGTTTTGTTTACTCCCCTTTTGTCTTCTTTCATAGATTAGTTAAATACATAAACAAATGAATGGAGAGTGTTTTACAGCATTGGTAAAGATGTTTGTATTTTTGTGTCTAAGAAAATGATTGGTTTATCATCCATCAAAAGAGAAGGATCTTGAAGCAGCAGATAAGACTACCCTGCCTTTATCTTCATGCTCCATTTCATGGTTACTTTTCTTTTAGAGTCCAGTCTTGGAGGTAATCCAGTCACGATAAGAGGTCACTCGTGTGTAGACACCTGGCTTATTCTTTTTCCCACAACCATCACCCCAGCTAACTATTCCAACAAGATGCCAAATATTTCTGGAGTCAGGGTAAGCTAGCGGTCCACCAGAATCATTCTAGAAGAAGAAGGGAAACAATGTTACTATTCTTGTCAAATAATTTCATTTTACCTCTCTTCTGGAGTTAACACTATCCCCTTGGCATTGAAACCAATCCACCCTCTTTGGGCTTAAAACTGCAGAATCCTTGAGTTTATTAAAAATCCACAAAGCTGCAAGCCAGAATATATTTTCTATAGCTGCCAGGTATTGCATTGACAACCCAGAACCACCCTTGACTACAGCAAAGATGACTCAGTGGTTGCAGTGGTTCTGAGCAGTGCACTGAGCTCCATGTCGTAGTCTCTGAGCAATGCTTGACCTCAGTCCATGCTCAACCTCCTGCTGCCTCCCTGGAGCAGGAGGTAGCTTTCTAGGTCTCTAAGCTTCTCCAAAAACACAACTCAGTTTCTCTTCAAAACTTCCAAGGATTATTCTTTGTGCGGATTCTTGTGTTGAAAACTCCATGAGGGCAGATATTATGCTCACCATGTCATCTCCAGCATCTGGTTGATGTCTGACACATAAATGGGAGTGATAATTTTAAGTGGAGTGAAATGTGAAGCTACCATATGGAAATCATTAGGAAATAAAAATATTTTAGGCTGATAAAAATGTCTATTTAGTTGGCACTTTGGGAGAAAATGATTGGATAACGTAGCTGGACATACCTGACAGGCGTCAGCTTCTCCAGACATGTAACCAGCACACAGCATTGTTTCAGTCACAAAGCCAGATAATGCATATGGGGCATTGCAAATTTTGTTGTCAATAATTTTCACAAATGCTTGTTGAAGTGTCTCTGGGAAAGCACCTAATGGCAATAAATGCTATGTTTTAGAGAACTCTTGGCCTTGCTTGTGGTAATAAAGAACAACTATAATATAAAGCATATTCTTTTAGGAGCAGGCCAGTCACAGGTTACATCAGTCTTTCAGGTTTTCATTATTGGCTGCCTTCCACATAAATGCAATTTCCCCACTCCCATTCCCAGGGATATTTTAGAAATTGAAAACAATGTGATTTCACACTTTTTGTCCTGCTACAGGGCTTGCTATTCAATATATTTACTGGTAGACTAATTGCATGCAGGGAGTGATTGATTGATTGATTAAATGATTATTCCCATTAAGCTATTATGTTTTTGCAGGAAAACTTACCAAACATATGAAGTGATCCCCATCCTGTAACTACGACACTGTCGTTGTCTGAGAGTTTCATTTTGGCTTCGGGAAGGCAGATCCTACGAACGTACTTTGTAAAAGAGACTCCTTCAGCAAGCTGCACAAGAGCAATATCATCATGGACCCCGGGACTGCTATAATTTTCATGCAAAATAATGTTTTGGACTTTCCGTGTCATATATGGCTTATTTACAATATTTCCAAAGTTGACAGTCCAATCCTGTGTGTTATTTTTCCTGGAGGACACAATGTAATGGAAATACTATCATTGTCTGCGTCACAACAGTGTCCTAGGTGGTCTTTTTCTTAGCATTTTGAAGCATAAGGTTCCCATACACTACAAAGCACTTACATTCTAGTCTTCAAAAACATCTTGATGTAGAGTTGGTACAAACATTGCAGTTGCTTAAAGACAGTGCTAAGAACCATTATGTTTGGCAGGTTTCTGCAAATCTTCCCAACTAGGGACAAGTTTCTCTGGCTAAGTCAACTCTAAACGTTTCTGAGAATTTGACTTGAGCAGGAATTAGATGAGCATCTTTGGTCCATTAAGTGATTAGAGTCCAGATTTAATCTTATTGCCGAGCACCTTAGGTTCTGGGAGCCTGTGGAAGACTCTGGGTACTTGGGTACTTAAAAAATTGCAGCTTGTTCTTGCTCAGTCCCATTATTCTGTTTATTGAGACAATGTATCTTGCTTTCTAATTTAGATTTCTTGATCAGTTTCTCCAGTTCCACACTGAGATTCTTTGTCAATTTAGAATAAAACATCTTGTTTATTCTCATGTCTCCCTCAAAATATAAGCTACTACGTTTTTTAAGATTCCCATAATTTCATGCCATCAGTGGCATACTTCAATCCACCCCCTATTCTAAAACCTCCCTGATTTCACATGTTAAAAAATTGTGATTTGTACACTTTATTTCCTTAGAGGCCACTCAGGCTTCCCCTTCTGAGATTTACATAAAAAGACCAGGAAGAATGCTAATGAATCTGTATGTTTAACAAGTTGCATAGGCAGACCATGGTTATCACCAGCTTTTTGAAAATCCCTTCTGGAAGACATCCTATGAAGATGCTTTGTAAAAGATACTTCTTCAGTAAATTTCTTGTTATTTAGAAATATCTGCAGCATAGGGCCTGTGTGGTGGTGCTGTGGTTTAAACTGCTGCCTATGGTGTCAGAATCCTACATGGGCCCTGGTTCAAGTACTGAGTGTTCCAGTTCTGATTCAGCTCCTTGCTAATGCACTGGGAAAAGCAGTGGAAGATGGCCCAAGTCCGGGGGCCCATGCATCCATCTGAGAGTCACAGACGAAGCTCCTGGTTCCTGGATTCAACCTGGTCCAGCCCCAGCCAACATGGCCATTTGGGGAATGTGTCAGCAGATGAAAGATCTTCCTCTCTCTGTCTTTCTGTCTTTCTCTCTCTCTCTCTCTCTCTCTCTCTGTAACTCTGCCTTTCAAATAAATAAATAAATCTTTTTTAAAAAATAAATATCTAAAACCAATATATTCAAAATGTTAATAATATTTTCTAGCATTTCCTTTTGTAAAATCTTCTCTACTTGAAATTGCTCTTTTATTTGATGTATACAGAATACAAACTGTGCTGTTCCATCTCCATACATCTGAAGAAGGCTGTGTTCCCACCAGTAGTGAATGTTACTCTATCATCCCTTTAATCAAATATATATTATAATCGCATTTTAGGGTCTAGATCAAATCTTCATACAGCAGTTGAATTTGCCATTTCCTTTTTAAAATTAATTGGTTTTAGAGGCAGTGCAAGAGAGAGAGAGAGCTCTCATCTATTAGTTCACTCCCCAAATGCCTGGAATGATGGGGGTTGGGCTGGCCAAATCCAGGAGCCAGGACTCAATGTAGGTCTTTCATGTGAGTGGCAAAAAACCAGTTAGGTTAGCCATCACCTGCCGCCCCCCAAGGTGTGCATTAGCAGGAAGCTGGAGTTGAGAGCCAGAGCTGGATTTTGAACTCGTGGTGTCTTAACCACTAGGCTAAATACCCATCCCACATACCATATTACTTGTTCAAGTTCCATAACATTATCTTTCCCAACATGTCCTCATACTTTCTATAGCTGACATTTTCATTTCTTCAACTAGCTTGTAAATTCCTAGAAGCAAAAAAAATCACCTAGAACTGGAGTCAGACATTCCTTTTCTATTATTTAATAGCTTGTGATACTGACATTAAATCTATCACCTTTCCTGAGCCTAGTTTCCTCCTCTTTCTATAGGTTAAGTTTTGCTTCCTATACAGAATTTTTATAATGAAGTGAAATGATTTCAATAAGGCACATGAGACCATGCCAAGGTAAATATTTGGAAAGTATGAACTGCTTTTATTCAATCCCCCCTTTTTCCTAAATTTAAAAGCTTTCTTACTCCTTCGATTGTAATTGTAAATTTTGTATGTGATTGTAAATTTCCTATGATCTTATGACTTTTCCCGTATTTAGGTTAATCCATATGGGCTAATCCAAACAAGCTTGCACCCAGCATCTTTCATACCATCAGACTTTTGAACTTACCTAGCAAAGCAGTGAGCTGCTGATAAGAGCCACCTGCTGCTGATCAGAGAGGCTCCACAGTTGTGGTGGCCTTTCCATTGCATGCTGGCCTGCCATGGCCAAGCCCCTGCCAGGGCATTCTTCCCATTCACAATTCGGTTGCCAGCTGTGATACTGCTGCTCAGTCGTCTCCCACAACCTGGAGAAAGGATTTATACACAGAGCAGGCATCTTCTATTCTGCTTTATAAAAATGTCATCTTAAAATATAACTTGAAAACCCACAGTGATTAATTCAGCTGTTTATTTCCTGTAATGCTCTGTGTTCATGGTTTCCCAACTCATCTTGGCTTTGGTGAATCTTATCCTAATCTTATCCTTTCTAGTCTCTTTAGCTATTGCCTTTTGGGATGCCTCTTTCTCAAAATTCTCATCTCTCCAAGGCTTTGTTTCATTAATGATTATTGCACAGTATATACAGTGGTGTCTACAGTTGCAATGTGGACAATAAATACTCCACAAATATCCACTGAGAGAACAGATGCATGGATGTACCTTGTGGGCAACACCATACTCTGAAAAACAGGGGTGAGGAATGTCCAGCTTGTAGGCCATATAAGACCAGTCAAATCATTCAATCTGGCCTTGCCAAGACAAAAACAGGTAGGACTTGAAATTCAATAAATCTATAGGAGGCTAATTTTTAAATAGATAACTTTGTATGTCCCATGAATGAAGTTATAAATCTAAATAGCCGTTGGCAGAAAAAGGATTCTCCCTCTTTTTTGCAGCCATCAACTGAGTGGCAGCAGCCAAAATGAAGTTTAGTCAGTTTGTGACTTCTGATCGAAGAAAGAACCAAAACCAGCATTTCAATGCCTCTTCCCATGGTCGCAGAAAGATTGTGCTATCCCCTCTTTCCAAAGAGCTGAGACTGAAGGTCAGCTTGCCATCCATGCCCATTTGTAAGGATGATGAAGTACAATGGTGTGAGAACATTGTAAAGGTCAGAAACTGCAAAGTAGACCAGGTTTATAAGAATAAATATGTCATCCACACTGAATAAATGCAGCAAGAAAAGGCCAATGGCACAACTGTCCTTGCTCACCCCAGCAAGCTGGTTGTCACTAGGCTAAAACAGGACAGAGACCACAAAATGATCCTTGCGTAAAAAGCCAAGTCATGTCATGTAGGAAAGGAGAAGGGCAAATACAAGGAAGAAGCAACTGAGAAGATACAAGAATAAAGTAATCTCATATGCACAACTTTCATTAAAAAGTGATGAAATTAAAAAAAAAAGTTGCTCCACCTGTTTTAAAAGATGCAGAGCTGTTTTTATGCTGCAATAAACATATTTGACTTATAGTGTAGGCTTGTATTTTGGTCCTATCCTAAGTTGTCCTTTTTGTTCCCTTTCATGGATTGAGTGGGATTTGGCTTTCCAAACTCTTTCAGATGTTCAAATTCTGAAGTCTTCTATTAAGCGTTGAAGGATTAGGAGTTGGAGACCTGATCAGATGGTGGTGGCTGGGAAGTGGGGTCATTGCCCCAGAAAGTGGTTCCTTTTCTTTTTAAGATGTATTGATTTATTTGAAAGTCAGAACTGCAGAGAGAGGTAGACGCCACAGTGCCAACCCCCAGAAAGTGGTTCTTAGTAGAGAGTTGGTTAATTAAGCCACAGGCAGCCTAGCAGCTCTGTTTGCTAGCTCACCATGTGAATGTTCCTTCATACTGATTCAGCTGTAGCCAGCCTCTGTCAGAGTAAGGAGGCCACTAGATATTGAGCTTTGAACCTCCAAATTGTAGCTGAAATAAACTTTTTTTCCCAAGGAAGTATTGTTGACTATTTCAGGGAAAGCAATGAGAAGCTGACTAATATATTCCTTAAACCTTTTCTTATTTTAGCTTGTTCACAATCATATTCTTCACTCATGATTTTAGAATCAATTTTCACTTCACTCTTTTGTACAATTTCCTATAAATATTTTCCTTTTTTTTTGACAAGCAGAGTTAGACAGTGAGAGAGAGAAAGATAGAGAGAAGGTCTTCCTTCCGTTGGTTCACCCCTCAAATGGCCCTATGGCCGGTGCCCTGCACTGATCCGAAGCCAGGAGCCAGGTACTTCCTCCTGGTCTTCCATACAGGTGCAGGGCCCAAGCATTTGGGCCATACTCCACGGCCTTCCTGGGCCAGAGCAAAGAGCTGGACTGGAAGAGGAGCAACCGGGACAGAATCCAGCACTCCAACTGGGACTAGAACCTGGAGTGCTGGCACCGCAGGTGGAGGATTAGCCTAGTGAGCCATGTCCATTCTCCTAAAAGCAATTTATACATTCAATGCAATACCAATCAAGATACCGAAGACATTCTTCTCAGATCTGGAAAAAATGATGCTAAAATTCATATGGATACACAGGAGACCTCTAATAGCTAAAGCAGTCTTGTACAACAAAAAGAAAGCCGGAGGCATCACAATCCAGATTTCAGGACATACTACAGGGCAGTTGTAATCAAAACAGCATGGTACTGGTACAGAAACAGATGGATAGACCAATGAAACAGAATTGAAACACCAGAAATCAACCCAAACATCTACAGCCAACTTATATTTGATCAAGGATCCAAAAAGAAACCCTGGAGTAAGTCAGTCTATTCAATAAATGGTGCTAGGAAAATTGGATTTCCACGTGCAGAAGCATGAAGCAAGACCCCTACCTTTCATCTTACACAAAAATCCACTCAACATGGATTAAAGACTTAAATCTATGACCCGACACCATCAAATTATTAGAGAACATTTGAGAAACCCTGCAAGATATAGGTACTGGCAAAGACTTCTTGGAAAAGACCCCAGAAGCACAGGCAGTCAAAGCCAAAATTAACATTTGGGATTGCATCAAATTGAGAAGTTTCTGTACTTCAAAAGATACAGCCAGGAAAGTAAGAGGCAACCGACAGAATGGGAAAATATATTTGCAAACCCTGCAACAGATAAAGGGTTGATAACTAAAATCTACAAAGAAATCAAGAAACTCCACAACATCAAAACAAAACCCACTTAAGAGATGGGCCAAGGACCTCAATAGACATTTTTGAAAAGAGTACATCCAAAGGGCCAACAGACACATGAAAAAATGTTCAGTATCACTAGCAATCAGGGAAATGCAAATCAAAACCACAATGAGGTTTTCACCTCACCCCGGTGAGAATGGGCTCACGGTTCAGAAATCTGCCAACAACAGATGCTGGAGAGGATGTGCGGAAAAAGGGACACTAATCCTCTGTTGGTGGGAATGCAAATTGGTTAAGCCACTATGGAAGTCAGTCTGGAGACAGTTCAGAATCCGGATTATACACATTCCATTCGCGCCAGGCATTTCACTCCTTGGAATTTATCAAAGGAAATGAAATTGGCAATCAAACAAGCTGTCTACACATTAGAGTTTATTGCAGCTCAAGAGCAATAGCTAAGACCTGGAAGCTACCCAAATGTCCATCAACAGTAGACTGGATAAGGAAATTATGGGACATGTACTCCATAGAATACTATACAGCAATAAAAAACAATGAAATCCGGTCATTCGCAACAACAGGGAGGAATCTGGAAAGCATTATACTGAGTGAATTAAGCCAGTTCCAAAGGGAAAAATATCATATGTTCTCCCTGATCAACAACAACTAACTGAGCACCAAAAGGGAAACCTGTTGACGTGAAATGGACACTATGAGAAACAGTGACTTGATCAGCTCTTGTCCTGACTGTTGATGTACAATGTAATACTTTATCCACTTTAGTATTTTTTTGTTCTAGTACTTTTGGTTGAACTCTGTGATTAACACACAATTATTCTTAGGTGTTTAAATTTTAACTGAAAAGTGATCCCTGTTAGGAATCTGGAAAACATTATGCTGAGTGAAATAGCCAGTCCCAAAGGGACAAATATCATATGTTCTCCCTGATCGGTGACAACTAACCAAGCACCAAAAAGGAAACCTGTTAAAGTGAAATGAACACTATGAGAAACGGTGACTTGATCAGCCCTTGCCCTGACTGTTGATGAACAACTTAATAAGTTATCCCTCTTAGTATTTTTTTTGTTTGTTCTACTTAATACTTTAGGTTGAATTCTGTAATCAATACACAGTTATTCTTAAGTGTTGAAACTTAACTGAAAATTGTTCGCTGTTAAATATAAGAGTGGGAATAAGAGATGGAAGAGATGTACAATTTGGGACATGCTCAAGCTGACTTGCCCCAAATGGTAGGGTTAGAAACATACCAGGGGATTCCTATTCAATCCCATCAAGGTGGCATGTACCAATGCCATCTCACTAGTCCAAGTGATCAACTTCAGTTCACAATTGATCACACTGATAGGTCTAAGTGTCAAAGGGATCACACAAACAAGACTAGTGCCTGGTAATACTAACTGATAGAATCAAAAAGGGAGAGAACGATCCATCATGGGAAGCGGGATACACAGCAGACTCATAGAATGGCAGATGTCCTAAATAGCACTCTGGCCTCAGAATCAGCCCCTAAGGCATTCGGATATGGCTAAGGAGCCCATGAGAGTATTTTAGGCATGGAAAGCCAAGACACTCTGGAAAAAAAAAAGAAGACCTAAATTAAAGATCTTTGCAAGTGAGATCCCAGTGGAAAGAATGGGGCCATCAAAGAAGGAGCTACCTTTCTCTGAATGGAGGAGAGCACTTCCACTCTGACTATGACCTTGTCAGAATAAGATCGAAGTCAGCGAACTCAAAAGACTTCCATAGCCTTGGAAACTCATGACTAGAGCCTTGGGAGATTACTGATGCCATAAACAAGAGTGTCAAATTGTTTAGTCAACAACAGGAGTCACTGTGCACTTACTCCTTATTAGGATCTCTGTCCTTAATGTGCTGTACATTGTGATTTAATGCTCTAACTAGTACTCAAACAGTATTTTTCACTTTGTGTTTCTATGTGGGTGCAAACTGTTGAAACCTTTACCTAATATATGCTAAACTGATCATCCGTATATAAAGAGAATTGAAAATGAATCTTGATGTGAATGGAAGGGGAGAGGGAGTGGGAAAGGGGAGGGTTGCGGGTGGGAGGGAAGTTATAGGGGGGAAAGCCATTGTAATCCATAAGCTGTACTTTGGAAATTTATATTCATTATACAAAAGTTTAAAAAAAGAATGAAATCCTATCCTTTACAACAAAATGATTGCAACTCCCACATAGTGCAGGGGCCCAAGCACTTGGGCCATCTCCTTCTGCTTTTCACCAAGTTATTATGCTTGGTGAAACAAGTCAGATCAAAAACATGAATATCGTATGTTTTCTCTGATTTGTTTTTGCTGATATAAAGGGTACAGAAAAGAAACAGGATCTGGCACTTTGGCACAGCAGGTTAAGCTGCTATCTGCAGTGCTGGCATCAAATATGGGTCTTGGTTCAAATACTGACTGCTGCACTTCCTATCCAGCTCCCTGCTAATGCACCTGGGAAAGCAGCAGGGGATGACCCAAGTGCCTGGGCCCCTGTACTCACATGGGAGACTAAGATGAAGATCCTGGTTCCTGGCTTATGCCTGGCCCAGCCCCAGCCACTGTGGCCATTTAGGGAGTGAACCAGTTGATGGAAGATCTCTTCTCTCTCTCTCTCTTTCTCTCCCCCTCCCTCTCTCTCTCTCTCTCTCTCTCTCTCTCTCTCTCAATGTGTGTGTGTTTGTGTGTGTGTGATTCTGATTTATAAATAAATAAATAAATAAATAAATAAATCTTTTAAAAAAGCAAAAAGAAACAATGTATACCAAGCTAAACTGATACCTTGTTACTCAATTGCCATCTATCGCCCTCATCTATAGCCCTGTGGAACAGTGATCTATCTACCTTTTACTTGCAGAACTCTTTGTTTAGAAGAACACTGAGGCTATGGTTACAAACTAAATGGGAAGTATGTTATTGCAAAAAATTAAAAGAAAAAAAAGGAAAGAAAGGAAGGAGGAGGGAGGGGAAGAAGAGAGAGGAAAGTCTTGTATTTTGGAATTGTATCTATGAAATTCATGAAATCTTTACATATTAATAAATTTTACAATGTAATATAAAAGAAAAAATTCTGTGGATTTCCATGATGTATTTCAAAAAAACTTTAGAAAATATTATGTAGAAATATTTGTGAATATATTAACTCTATAATAAAGTTTATTAACTTACAGTTGTTGACAAGCATTTCAGAATTAGCCTTGCTGATTTCTGAAAGTAAAAACAAAACAAAAATTGTAAAACTGATAAATAACACCAACCAGTTGATTTCAACCCCAGGACACAAATGCAAACTTTTCCGATCTAATTATGCCCAACATTTAACCATTCATGTATTGATTATCAGCTCTTCTAAACTAATTTGAACATTGCTCCTCATCTCTACCAGGTAATATTGGAAAATGAAAGTTAAATGCAAAGATTTCAGTATTATGATAGTTGTAGTAAAATAGTCAATGAGGTAAAAAGTAGATTTCTTATAAATATACAGATTTTTGATATTCTGGCAATTCTACTGACTGAGGCATATATATTTTAAGAAAAAAATCAGTTAAAATTTTATTTCATTGGACCCTTCCTACTATTTATTTATTTATTTATTTTGACAGGCAGAGTGGACAGTGAGAGAGAGAGACAGAGAGAAAGGTCTTCCTTTGCCGTTGGTTCACCCTCCAGTGGCCACCACGGCCAGCGCGCTGCAATCGGCGCACCGTGCTGATCCGATGGCAGGAGCCAGGTACTTCTCCTGGTCTCCCATGGGGTGCAGGGCCCAAGCACTTGGGCCATCCTCCACTGCACTCCCTGGCCACAGCAGAGAGCTGGCCTGGAAGAGGGACAACCGGGACAGAATCCGGCACCCCGACCGGGACTAGAACCCGGTGTGCCGGCGCCACAGGCGGAGGATTAGCCTAGTGAGCCACGGTGCCGGCTCTTTCCTACTTTTTAAAATATTCTCCTTACTTAGACTGAATTAGGAAACTTTCAAAATGTAACTTTGCAGCTTCTTTCCTATTGGAAAGAGACTTTAAAGAATAAAAGAAGAGAACTATAGGAAGAACCGCAGGAAAGCACTGATGTTAATCCCTGGGACATGGAGGAGCAGAAATCCCAGCCCTCTATCCCAACAGCTACCCACAAAAGGATTTCACTGCTCCCTGGAGAACCTCTACCTCAGACTCACTTCTCACAGTGTCCCATTGGTCACAGGGTTTGTGCTCTGAGGCAGAGGAGCTGTAACTGGTGGCTTGGAAGCCTTTTGAACCTTCAAGGACACTGAGAGCAACTATTAGACCAGAAAGGCCATAAACTAGGGGCACTGAAACCACATGTTTTTCCCCTACAGGCTGTTTAACAATCCAGGTGAGACTTTCAAGACCTTTGTAGAACTTTCCAGATATTTATAAAAGTCATTTGCTATACAGGGATGAAAATCTATCATTGTCTTCCATTGTTTTCTAGAGAATTATTCCAAACAATTTTTTAAGTAACATTGCTCTAATTTCTTCACAAGAATTGTTTAAAGCTCCCATTACCAGCATTGCTTTAGCCCTGCAATTCCTTAGTGAATGACCAAGAAAACCCTGAATGTGCCATCTCTCATAGGTCCTGACAGGACAAGAGAGTAGGAAGGAAAGATGATTTGGTCAGAAGCTTTCAGCCACTTTCCCATCCCTAACAGCTAACCTTTCTAAAGGTTGTCCTTTAGATGCCCACGATTTAACCTTATCCCTATCACTTGTCAAACAATGATGTTATGGCGCTGCCCCTTCCACCACCAACCCATTGCTAGGAGTGTCAGAGTTCAGGAAACATATTTAACCCCAAAATTGCAGAACTCATAGTTCCTTTATTTCTAGCACTTTTAAGAATACTTCAGAAACCTGAGTAATAGACCACAATGAAAAGAAACGAAGTACCCATAAGTCCAATGGAAGCAGGAACTGCATTCCAGGATGCCACGTTGCCTCTCAACATCTGATGTAAGATGGCCAGGATTTCAGTCCTCATGCTACCCCTCTTTGCTGGAGGAAACTTGAAGGTCAGACGTAACTGTACACTGGAGCCATTGGTGTTGGGCCTAAAATAATAGATGTATTCAAATGTGGTACTTCTTGAAGTTTTAGATGTTGTGTGATCATATCAAAGTTCCCACATTTTAATTATAAATCTTTACAGATGATAAAGAACATCTCTAACACAGACATACAGTATAAACACAAAACGCAGCATATGTAAATTGTAAAAGTCCCTAAAAATCTTCTAGCTAGTTCAGAGGTACTGTACATTGAAAAAGATATGGGATCATAAACTAGGAATTAGAATGAGTCAAATACATATGAGCAGCTAAATACCTTCCAAGATTTTATTATAATACAATAGAAACCAGTGTTCTCATAAGAATTTTTTTCTAATAATTGAATTTTAGAGAAAAATGAATGAGAAAATAAAGGCAAGGCAGGGAAGCACTCAAAAGACAAGTTCCAGCATATATTCAGGGGCCAGTCTGCAACTTATTCCTGTACTTTCTTACATATAACAATCGAGATGTATTATACCTTACATATAACCAATAGATCTACAAGGAGAAAGCTCAGAAAATAACTCTAAGTTGTGAAGTCTGGGTTATCTATATATTCAGTACATTCTTTTGATTGTTCAGTGAAGGAAGTCAAATCATTTTGGAAGACTATCAAAGTGAAATTCATATTAATCAGAATTTGTAAAAGCCTCACAATTCCATTTTCAAGTAATTATGATCAAGTAAAGGGTCTTTCAAGGTTTCTGCTTGTCTATAAGTAAGAAGGTTGGTTGATTGGTCAACTGAATTTTTTGTTTGTTTTGCTCAAGGGTTCCCAGCGTAGACACTGGCAGTTACCACCAGATTGCAAGTGGTTTCTCCCTTTCTCCCTTTCCCCATGCTCCATCCTCTCCATCCCGCATCCTTTCCTACCAAGATTATCCTCAAATACCCCTCAAAGGCAGGTTTACGCCGACGTTTCTCAAAAGGTTCATCCCTACAATGGCAGGGATGGTAATCACAGAAAAGCCCATGAATGATTACTTTAGGGTATGTGTAACCCATGTTGTGATTGGAGAAGAGTCGGCCAGGGGGTGGTTACTAAAACAATGAGGTTGGGCTTCCTTGTTTTCTGTGGAGTCACAGCTATCTTTCTTCATGGAACCATTTAGGACTGACCACCACTAACCTTATAATTCCCCTGCAAGTAGACAAGAAATTATAGATTTGTATACAGCCGTTCTTTCCCTGAACAGAGATTTGCTAAATAGTATAATAACACTTAGAGTAGAGCTCATTCTTTGTTTCTCTGTCACTCTCTCACATCAGTCTTCCTCCCCTTCCTTCCTTCCTTCTTCCTTCCCTCCCTCCTTTCTTTCTCTCCTTTATTCCTTCCGTTTCACCCTCCTTCCCTCTCTCTCTCTCCAGCTTCTCCTTCCCTCCCACCCCTCTTCCCTCATCCTCATCTCTTTTTCTTTCTTTCTTTTCTTTCTTTCTCTCTACCTTTATCTATTTGTCTGTTTCATGTTGCTGTTATGAAAAAGGCGGGCTGTGTCACATATATATTCCCTCTTTTCATAACATTTTGTATTAATTTGTACTTACAGAAGTTTGATGACCTGAGAGTCGACATATTCTTTATATATACTAGAATTTTGAAATGCATCTGACATCTGCCAAGAGAAAATAGAGTCCCATGTATACTTCAGCCAAATTTATAATGACACTAATAAAATAGATCTCTGATTTACCTTAGTCTCAATATCTTTGCTCAGATTTGTACTGGCTTGTGAAGCTACATTTTCACAGGTATCATTGTATGTGGCTCCAGAAATATGAAAAACACCTTCATAATAGTGTAGCTTTCCTGTGAAATAAAGAAATATTTAAAGAATTTTAAAACAAGAAGGGAGTGCAAGTCCATGTGTATCTCTTTTTTAAATGAACATGCAACCTGGCTTTTAAACCAGCCCTAGAGACAGACAGCAGAGGAATGATTATCTGCTTGGGAACTACCCAGCTTTTATTCAGTGACTTGTTCTAAGCCTTGCCTTCATGTGACAAAGGACATAACTCTCCTGCTAAGTCTGAATACACCCTAAGCATGTTCTTCAAAACAGCGATGACTGCAGCCACCAAATCCACTGGAGTGTGCACCAGGAAAAATGTCCACTCTTCATGTCTAATCTAAACTCTTAGACTAGTGATTAACCAATTGACTTTTCTCAGCAGCTCTGATGTAAGAAGCCTTACAAGCACATGTTTCACTCTGGATGATTCACACTCTCATGTACTCTTTCTTTACCCCATTGCCCCATACTTTCCATTTCTGAAAGCCATTCCTTGAGTACTTCACACTGGCCTTGCACCTATATACAACATTAGGTAGGTGGTGATTGATACTCATCATGAGCTCACATCCTCATTTATTTCTTGTCTCCAAATAACTACTTCACCTAATACACCTAACCACTCTAATTTGAAATGGGACAAGCCTAAAAGGTTGTTCTTCTAAGTCATAAATGTACTTTTAAAAATAGGAGCTAATATGAAATAGTACCTTTTTGGGTTAAAAATTAATCATGTACATATTTTGAGGGCAATTGAATTTCTGGTCCACCTTAAAAATAGTCCGGAAGGAGTTTGAATAACAAGTACAAAATCAGAGTTAGATTTACAGAATAAGTCCCTAGTGTTATATAGCACATTGAGGTGGCTATAGTTCACTATAACCTATTATATACTTTATGAGTAAATAAGAGAAAGGAACTCCAAGGTTCCAAATATAAAATAATGTCAAAGAAGCAGAAATGTTGATTACCCTGACTTTATCAGTGCACATTGGAAGCATGTATCGAACTCTCCCACTCCAGCCTATAAATATATATATTAACTGTTAACAAAAATTGAAATAAAATATACCACTAAACTCTAACACACTGAAAAATATAATCTCCTGAGATGAAATCATTGGTAGACTTGGAAGTCTGAAATAATTCCAATATAAAATAAAAATCAGTTTCCCATTTTCCTCTGTTTTATCTGATCACAGCCATTGCATAAAAAGTCAAGTGCAGCCGGTGCTGCGGCTCATTAGACTAATCCTCCGCCTTGTGGCGCCGGCACACCAGGTTCTAGTCCCGGTCGGGGAGCCAGATTCTTTCCCGGTTGCCCCTCTTCCAGGCCAGCTCTCTGCTGTGGCCAGGGAGTGCAGTGGAGGATGGCCCAGGTCCTTGGGCCCTGCACCCCATGGGAGACCAGGATAAGTACCTGGCTCCTGTCATCGGATCAGCGCGGTGCACCGGCCGCAGCACGCTGGCTGTGGTGGCCATTGGAGGGTGAACCAATGGCAAAGGAAGACCTTTCTCTATGTCTCTCTCTCTCTCACTGTCCACTCTGCCTGTCAAAAAAAAAAAAAAAGAGTCGAGTGCCTGGTTCTGTCTAAGAAGTTACCCAAGGTCACTGAAAAGAATGATGCATATAATGTCTAGCGATTAGTCTGAGCCTTGCCACACTCAGGTTATGCCACCTTGGCTTATCACTTCAACCTTCTGGGATTTTTTTTTTCTTTATCACTAAGACTAAATTATAAAAGACAATCTACAAGATGCACTTTTTCCTAGTATTGTATAATTATAATCTGTGAAGCATGTCACTGAAGGAACTAGAGTAAACAATCGTAATCTGTTATTTTTGTTTTGTATCCAGAATGCTGAACCTGGGCATTTGCAAGTAGTAGATTAATTTGTATATATATGTGTATATATATATATCTTGATGTTTATATTTATGATTCTAGTTATAACATTACAGTGAAATTACATTGATTCAGTGTCATTCTAAAATAAATTTTCCTGGTAGCCATGTTGTGTCCCAGCAGAGTAATCTATAGCTTACAACATTGGCATCCCATATCAGAGTGTCAATTCCAATCCTGGCTGCTCCACTTCTGATCCAGCTTCCTGCTAAGGCACACGGGAGATTGTGGATGATGACCCAAGGGTATGGGCCTCTGTCATTCCTGTGCGAGATCTGGATGGAGTTCTGGGCTCATAGCTTCAGCATGGTACAATCCTGGATGTTGAGGCTATTTGGGGAGTAAAGCAGTGGGTGGAAAATCTCCATCTCTCCTTCTTTCTCTCTCTCTGTCACTCTGCCTTTCAAACATATAAATAAGTCTGTTTAAAAATTCAATTAATTTTTCTTGATAAATAAATAGTTTAAATATTTAAATAGTTAGGTGCCCTAGCGTTGGGTGCATATACATTTATTATAGTCATCTGTTCCTGTTGAATTGATACCTTAAGCACTTCATGATCCACTTTTTTGACTCTTTTAACAGTTTTTATGTTAAAGTCTATTTTTCTAATATTAGGATGGCTAATTTTTTTTAATCTTCTTTGCTTTCCATTAGCATGGGATATCTTTTTCCATCCTTTCATGTTCAGTCTGCATGTAACTTTGTGGCTGAGGTGTGTTTCTTGTAGGCAGCAAATAGACAGGTCTTGCTTTTTTAATCCATTCAGCAAGTCTGTATCTTTTAATTGGAAAATTTAGACCAAGACCATTTACATTCAAGGTTATTACAGATAAGTAACGATTTGTTATAACCATGTTTCCATAAATATTCCAATTGTTTGCTTTGAATTTCCTCTGTACTTTTACTAGGAGATTTTCTGACTTCACATACTTTCATAAAAATGACTATTATTCTGTTTTTTATGGAAGGATAGACAAATAATGATAAATTCTTTCAATTTCTGCTTGTTTTAGAAGGTCTTTGTGGCCAGCGCCACGGCTCAACAGGCTAATCCTCCTCCTGCGGCGCCGGCACACCGGGTTCTAGTCCTGGTTGGGGCACTGGATTCTGTCCCAGTTGCCCCTCTTCCAGGCCAGCTCTCAGCTGTGGCCTGGGAGTGCAGTGGAGGATGGCCCAAGTGCTTGGGCCCTGCACCCCATGGGAGACCAGGAGAAGCACCTGGCTCCTGGCTTTGGATCAGCGCGGTGCGCCGGCCGCAGCGGCCATTGGAAGGTGAACCAACGGCAAAAAGGAGGACCTTTCTCTCTGTCTCTCTCTCTCTCACTGACCACTCTGCCTGTCAAAAAAAAAAAAAAGTCTTTGTTTATAAATGAGAGCTTTGTTAGATACATTATTCTGGTTTGACAGTATCTTTCTTTTGGGACTTAATGTAATGTGGCATTTCTCTCCTGCATATTTTAGAATCTTTATGTTTTACTGTTGAAAGTTTGACTGTAATGTGTTATGAGGATTTTTTCTGATCATGTCTACTAAGAGTTCTGTGTGCTTCTTGTACTTGGATGTTCCTTTAGGGAAGTTTTCTGCTACTATTTCTATCAACAGGGCTTCTACTCCATTCTCTTCCCACACCTTCAGGAACTCCTAAGACACATATGATGGGTCATTTGATAGGATAGTATCCCATCAATCTTAAATACTACTTTCAGGTTTTTTAAAAATTTTTTCTTATTTTTTTGGTCTATTTCCAAAGACTTGTCTTCTAGATCAGGTATTCTTTCTTCTGCCACACCAAGTCTGTTGTTGAGGCTTTTCACTTTATTTTCTATTTATCATATTTAATTTTCCATTTCTGAAAATTCAGTTTGATTTCAGTATCTCAATCTCTCAGCAAAATTTTTATCCATATCATGTATGGATTCCTGTATCTCATGAATTTGTTTCTCTGTGCTTCTGAGTAATTTTATGATCATTATTTTTAATTCATCTTCAGGTGTCTCATCAATCTCTTCATCTTCACATTCTAATATTGAAGTGTTATATTTCTTTAGAGGAGCCAACTTGCCTTCCTGGTTCTTGTTTCTTCTATTTCTTTGTATATATTTAGGCAGTTATGGAAACACTTGTTGGTTTTCTCCTCTGATGGGCTTTTTTAAAATATTTGTTTTATTTATTTGAAAGACAGAGTTACAGGGAGAGGTAGAGACAGAGAGAGATCTCCCATCCTCTGGTTCACTCCCTAAATGGCTGCAACAGCTGGAGCTGAGCTGATTCAAAGCCAAGATTCAGGAGCTTCTTCCAGGTCTCCCACAGGGGTGCAGGGACCCAAGGACTTGGGCCATCCTCCATTGCCTTCCCAAGCACATTAGCAGGGAGCTGGATTAGAAGTGGAGCAGCCAGGACTCAAATCGTTGCCCATATGGGATGCTGACACCACAGGTCTGGACTTTAACCCACTGCTCCACAACAATGGGTTTTATCTTTGAATTATGCTTCTGTGGCTTAGAGCAGTATCTACTCCTTCAGTGGATATTCAGAGGGAAGGGCTTGCTCTCAGAAGCTGGCATCTCCCTCTAGCTCCCTCTAGCTCATGGGAGTCACTGGTGCTGTCCCCACTCTGCTGTGCTTCTGCACTTTCCACACTGCTACATGGCATCCCTCTTCTTTCAGTATAATTTGCACTGCAAACTTCTCTGTAACCCTCCCATACGAATGCACTTCATCTGCTTGTCTTCTCCTCTGCTCTTCCTCTGGTCAAAACCCGCACATCTTTTCCCTATTCAGCCATCAGGAAATCTCTAGACTACTGTTTTCCTTTACCATATTGATAAGATTTATTCACAAGGGAGTGATTTTGAAGACTCAGGGTACTGTCCTTAAGGAAATTATGTGAGCAATTTTATTTTTTAATCTGTAGAAGAAAGGTAGAACAGAAAGATCCAGAGAGTAAAGAATTCATGGGTAGATAAGGCAGATAAGAGACTGTGAGCATCTATTACCTTTTGAAGGAAGTCACTAAAGAGTTGGGTTGAAACAGAGGTGAAGAACCCAAGTTGAAAGAAAAGTGAAATTACCACTGAATCAGAGAACATTGATCTCTGCTGTGTAATTTTATAGACTAACAGATCTCGGAGGAATGAAACTCAGAAAAACAATGACAAAGTAGAATAATACACTTTAAGATATTGATATCTGAATTGTTCAGCTGTGTCACTTAAAAACTTAGAACTATTGGTTGAACTCTGTAATTAACACACAATTATACTTAGGTGTTTAAATTTAACTGAAAAGTGATCATTGTTAAATATAAGAGTGGGAATAAGAGAGGGAAGAGATGTACAATTTGGGACATGCTCAAGCTGACTTGCCCCAAATGGTGGAGTTAGAAATGTGCCAGGGGATTGCAATACAATCCCATCAAGGTGGCATGTACCAATGCCATCTCACTAGTCCAAGTGATCAATTTCTGTTCACAATTGATCACACTGATAGGTCTAAGGGTCAAAGGGATCACACAAATAAGACTAGTGTCTGCTAATACCAACTGATAGAATAAAAAAGGGAGAGAATGATCCAACATGGGAAGTGGGATACACAGCAGACTCATAGAATGGCAGATGTCCTAAATAGCACTCTGGCCTCAGAATCAGCCCTTAAGGCATGCGGATCTGGCTGAAAAGCCCACGAGAGTATTTCAGGCATGGAAAGCCAAGACACTCTGGCAAAAAAAAAAAAAAAAAAAAAAAAAAAAAAAAAAAAAAAAAAAAAAAACACAAAACAAAAAAAAAAAAAACCAACTAAATGAAAGATCTCTGCAAGTGAGATCCCAGTGGAAAGAACGGGGCCATCAAAGAAGGAGATACCTTTCTCTGAACGGAGGAGAGAACTTCCAATTTGACTATGACCCTATCTGAATTAGATTGAAGTCGGCGAACTCAAAAGACTTCCATAGCCTTGGCAACTCATGACTAGAGCCTAGGGAGATTACTGACTCCATAAACAAGAGTGTCAAATTGTTAAGTCAACAACAGGAGTCACTGTGTACTTATTCCTCATGTGGGATCTGTCCTTAATGTGTTGTCCAATGTGAATTAATGCTATAACTAATACTGAAACAGTATTTTACACTTTGTGTTTCTATGTGGGTGCAAACTGATGAAATATTTACTTAATATACACTAAATCAATCTGCTGTATATAAAGATAATTGAAAATAAATCTTTTTTTAATTTTTTTTAATTTTTGACAAGCAGAGTGGTCAGTGAGAGAGAGAGACAGAGAGAAAGGTCTTTCTTTTTGCCGTTGGTTCACCCTTCAGTGGCCGCTGCGGCCGGCACACTTCGGCCGGCGCATTGCGCTGATCCGAAGCCAGGAGCCAGGTGCTTTTCCCGGTCTCCCATGCAAGTGTAGGGCCCAAGGACTTGGGCCATCCTCCACTGCACTCCCAGGCCACAGCAGAGAGCTGGCCTGGAAGAGGGGCAACCGGGAAAGAATCCGGCGCCCTGACCGGGACTAGAACTTGGTGTGCTGGTGCTGCAAGGTGGATGATTAGCCTATTGAGCCACGGCACCGGCCGAAATTGAATCTTGATGTGAATGGAATGGGAGAGGGAGCGGGAGATGGGAGGGGTGCGAGTGGGAGGGAAGTTATGGGTGGGGTGAAGCCAATGTAATCCATAAACTGTACTTTGGAAATTTATATTTACTAAATAAAAAAAGACAAAAAACCCTTAGAATATCAAGTAAGTCACTTGACTTTTCTGAACCTCTTTTTACTGTTTGTGAAAATAGGACAGTAGTAAAACCTGCCCTCCTTAACTCAGAGGGTTATTGTGAGGAACAAATGGAATAATGAATGTCAAATTTCTTTAAAAAAAATAAAAAAATTAGGTTATACAGCAATTTAGCCATTTTGTGACACTCAGCATCTACTATTAGAAGAGTTACTAATTACTCATTGCTATTCAACATATGAGATATAAATAACCAAGAGCAGAATTGATCTCAAAGGAGTAGGGATAGCTACACTTTGAGCTATATTTACTAAAGACTGTAATAACTCAAGTGACAGGTTTACACAACTGCATAAACCCCTTTATTAACAATGAATATGGGCATATTTGTATTGAGCATCTCTGTCTTGCCCATCCTGCCGTTAGTGACATAACTTATAAGAAGACATCTAATTCAAATTACAGGGAATTAAAGGATTTCTAAGAACATATTTATGCTATTGCTGCCAATTTTTTAAATTAAAAGGATCTCTATTAGTATGAGTGAAAATTGAATATAGTCCATACTGACCAACTGCCAGGAAATGAACGAGGAGACCAATAGTGATTCCCAAGCTTGCAACCACTCCAAGAAAAATGAGGATTACCATCCATATTGGCCATGATCTCTGTGGTACTATTCTGGGCCTATGAAAAGGGAAAAAGTGGTTCAAATCAGATGATACACATTCTAGATCTATCTGTGTGTCTTCTTCAAGTCACATTACATGATTTATAGCTTATCATGAATCTCTAATGTTAGTTTAAAATATAGATGTCTTCTTCAAGTCACATAACATGATTTATAGCTTATCATGAATCTCTAATGTTAGTTTAAAATATAGATGCATCAAAGACCTCAAAGAGGTAGACCCTAATGCTCATTCACTTAACAAATCCTATGTAAGCAGCATGTCAAGTGATATATCAGAGAGCAAAATGGACATGATTTCTGTCCTCATGTTGTTGAGGAGAAATTGATTAAAAAAAAAAAAACTAAAACAGGTTACAAAACATTGGGTGTGGTTGCATTGTGTTTTTGCAAACCATAGCCATGTCATTACATGGACATGTGAAGATTTATAAACACAATTAAACACATAATATAACAATACTTATAGGTTTAATAAATGTGTAAGGAAGTGTCATGATGTCAACTACAGTAATCCCTGTTTTATGAGATTATGGATAGGTTTTTTTCCACTTTTTGTTCATTTTTTTACTTAATTATACAATTAAATTTTTGTTTAACAAGTGCAGATTATTGGTGTAATATAAATCAATGAGTAAAGTTGTTTCATCATCACAACCAATTAGTTAAAAAAGAATCAGAAAATATGGTGTCTGTGTGGTGACTCCATGCTTCTTGCCCCCACCGTGCTCCTCCTCTCATAATGAATCCACAGCAACAACCTGGCATAATATAGAGTAGTTTAGGTTATAGCTAGGTTTATGGACAGTTACCTTATTCCATTTAAGGCTTGGACACTAATCATTCTTCATACTTTGAAAGACAGTATGTCACGTATTTGCCCATCAGAGGAGGGACAAACATTTCTGATTTCAAACTTCATAACAACCTCAGTTATTTCCTGAAACTCTATATTCTACAAATCCTAGATAACTCTTATAAGACAAAAAAGCTTGTAATCACGGGAAGTATTTAGAAGATTAGCTATTTCCAACGAATATGTGAATGTTTTCATTCTCATCTCTTCCAAGATAAATTGATTTTTAAGTAAGTTCTTTTTTTTCCCTGAAGTGTTACCTTATACCAAAACTGCAACTCCACCCACTCTTATTTCCTCTTTATTCTATCTTCTAGTCTTAATCCTAACTCTTCCTTGTACCTCATTGTCTGTTTTGATGATTTGTTAATTAGGGTTTCCCAGAACCAATGTCATTTGTCAAAGCTCTTCAGTGACACTCCCTATTTCAGACACAAGCTATGTATGCTGTCATCCTGTAATACTATTGTTTAATTTCACCCTCAGAGCAAAAATTCTATTCAGGCATAATACTGCCTACACAATATTTGTAACTCCAGTTAATGTTTGCTAAAGTATGTCTTTTAATAAGTACAAAAAGTGCACATGTGAGAGTAAGCACTCATATTTGTTGGGGTTATCCAATTAACTTAGTCTGGTAGCTTAGGCTTTATGAGACATGCTGTAGCCTAAATAGTGACTCTACAGCTTAGAAGAAGTTCTCTGAAAACCATTTTTGGATGCTCTGGAAGGTTTTAAAGAACACTTATTGTTGCAATAGTTCTAATGTAACCTTTTCCCTCTATGAGGCTTTCTTTTTATTAAAAATAATATATATAACATCAGATTAATGTATGATTAATCCAACCCTTCTAGTAAATGTGATGCATTGACCTTAGGAATTTATTATTTGTGAATAATAGTTGATTTTATAAAATGATATTCTAAGTATCAAAAAAGATGTATTCATGAGATAATATACTCTTCATTTACCAAATAAATTTTTGGTAATTTTTTTTATAATAGGAACTTACATTCTAGGATGAATCCCTCATTTTAAAGAGAATAGATTAAAAATGGATCTCCAATAGATTTATCATCCATATATTTAATGAAACTATAATTGCCTGACTTTTGGACTGGATCTACATCACATAATGCACATTACTATTCTGGTGCAACAAACCATTTGCCATAATGAGCTTGCAGTAATGATATTGATTAAACTTATGGAAATTCATTATTCACAATATTAAAATATCAGTCTCACTATAGTTCTCTCCACTGAGTCCACGCCAGGTATAATTTTTTAATTTAGATTTCCTTATGACCACATTCTGTTATTTCTTTAACTGTTAACTACAAGGCACACATAAATGCATTTTCCCTTATTGTAATGTGATTTTTCATTTGAAATAGTTGCACCTGGGTTCTTTTATGTAATAAAATGTTACATTAAGATTATGGTGCAAAATTACCTGAAATTTATAATTTTTTGTAGAAGACTTTAAATCATTAGGGTAAGAGTTGTGAAGAGAGATTAGAGAAACCTAACAGTCAAAAGGATTTGAATGGCCTCCACTTCTGCTTTTTCCTTGGAAAAAAAGACAGCCTACAGATGGAAACCCACTTGAAAACCTGTTCATAAAGGTATTTCATTTCCTAAAGTTTCAAAGTCATATATGAGTAAATTTCTATTCTTTGCAAATAACCAAATGTTGCTGATTCTGATTCTTTTTTCCTAACTTTCTGAAAATTTCCAGAGACCTCAGGAAATATGATTTTTGACCTAAGTTACAGGAAGCAACCAATTAACAAAAACAGTAAAATTTAGGAGATACTCTATCAACCCATTAGGTTTTGCAGAGTTTTCTTCCAAATGAATCCCACTTACCTGTACATGATGTACAGTTTGCTGTGGCAGTAACAAGGATAATAGTGGTGGTGGTGGTAATGGTGATGGTGGTGGTGGCGATGCTGGTGATGATAATGGTGATAGAAATCAAAATGTCCCGGTGTAGTTGATGATTTGTGTATTATATCCAAGGTTGGTTGGTTGGTTTTTAAGGGTTGGGTGAGATTTAAAGAACAAATGAGAAGAAACTTGTCTGACTAGTGTTAATAACCGTCACATTTCAATAGTTTCAAGATAGGAGTCATCCAGGGAATGACAAATATCTTTGACTTGGCTCTTCAAAAAAAATATAACCCAGTTTGAATTGGCCACCTAAGAGTTACACCCAAGAAACAGCTTTAATCATAACTCATGGTTTAACCAATTCCATATACTGGTTTTTCTTCCTCAGTTAAAACTAGCTGTATGCATTTAGTTTTTTATATAATTTTTCATTTAAATTTAATTACTTTTTGACAGATTTATAGATACAGTTCTAAGAATGTATTGATATTCTCTTCCCCCTCTCCACACTTTGTTGCTCCTTTTCTTTTTTTAATTTTTGAGACAGAATATTTTAAAATACATTACAGTAAAAAGGTCTAACGCTTCGCTGAAAAAGAAGTTAAGTAAAAAGCAAAAAGATCCTGGTTTAGTGGAAATATGGACAATATATATAAACAATATAATATACAAATGTATATTATATATAATATAAACAATAATTGAATGGAAAAATGACCATTTTACCCATATACAATAAATTTTTTTTTAACTTTTATTTAATGAATATACGTTTCCAAAGTACGAATAATGGATTACTATGGCTTCCCCCCCATACCGTCCCTCCCACCCACAACCCTCCCCTTTCCCACTCCCTCTCCCCTTCCATTCACATCAAGATTCATTTTCGATTATCTTAATATACAGAAGATCAGCTTAGTATACATTAAGTATGGATTTCAACAGTTTGCTCCCACACAGAAACATAAAGTGAAAAATAATAGATGATTTTTTTTAATGATGATGAAATCAGATCAGACCTATTGTCATGTTTAATCCCAGTGAGAGTCAAGTTGGGAGTTGATAGTTTCTTTTCTTTTCTTTTTTTTTTTTTTTTTTTTTTTTTACAGAGGATCAGTTTAGTATGCATTAAGTAAAGATTTCAACAGTTTGCACCCCCATAGAAACACAAAGTGAAATATATTATTTGAGTACTCGTTATAGCATTAAATCTCAATGCACAGCACATTAAGGACAGAGATCCTAAATGAGGAGTAAGTGCACAGTGACTCCTGTTGTTGACTTTACCAATTGACACTCCTGTCTATGGCATCAGTAATCTCCCTATGCTCCAGTCATGAGTTTCCAAGGCTATGGAAGCCCCTTGAGTTCTCCAGGGGACTCCAATTTAATCCCATCAAGGTGGCATGTACCAATGCCATCTCACTAGTCCAAGTGATCAATTTCAGTTCGCAATTGATCATAATGAAAGGACTAAGAGTCAAAGGGAGCACATAAGCAAGTCTAGTACCTGCTAACACTAACCGATAGAATAAATAAAGGGGAGAGTGATCCAACATGGGAAGTGAGATACTCAGCAGACTCATAGAATGGCAGATGCCCTAAATAGCACTCTGGCCTCAGAATCAGCCCTAAAGGCATTCAGATCTGGCTGAAAAGCCCATGAGAGTATTTCAGGCATGGAAAGCCAAGACACTCTGGCAAAAGATCTCTGTGAGTGAGATCTCAGTGGAAAGAACAGGTCTTCAAAGAAGGAGGTACCTTTCTCTGAAGGGAGGAGAGAACCTCCACTTTGACTATGACCATATACAATAAATTTTAAAGTAATTGTAGATCACTAAAACTATAGTAGTATAACATTCTTAACCACTGGTTTGACAAAGTTACAAAACAAAGTTTTACAAAACTATATTTGTAGCAATACTGATACACTAAAATATTTCTTTTTCTTTCTTTCTTTTTTGTTTGTTGTTTAAATTTTAGTTCCTTCATATAAGGGAGAACATGCAGTATTTATCTTTCTGGGTCTGGCTTGTTTCACTCAAAATAATGTTCTCTAGTTGTGTCCATTTTGCTTCAAATGGAAGAATTTAATTCTTTTTATAGCTGAATAATATTCTATTATATAAAGATACCACATTTTTTTTTATCCATTCATCTGATGATGGACACCTTGATTGGTTCCAGATTTTGGCTGTTGTGAACAGTGCTGCTATAAAAATGGTGTAGGTATCTCACTGACACATTGTGCTCCAGTCTTTTTTGAATATACCCAGTAGTAGGATTGCTAGAACATATGGCAAATCTATTTCAAGTTTTGAAAGAAATCTCCACAGTGTTTTCCACAGTCACTGCACTAATTTACAGTCCCATCAGTAGTGTGTAAGTTTTCCCTGTTCTCCATATCCTTGCAAACATTTGTTATTCTCCATGTTTGGATTTTAGTTATTCTGACAGGGATGAGGTAACATTTCATGGTGGTTTTGATCTACATTTTCTGATGTCTAGTGATGTTGAGCACATTTTCATATACTTATTGGCCATTTGTAATTCTTCTTTTGAGAACTATCTATTGAAGTCCTTTGCCCGTTTCTCAACTGGATGGGTTGTGTTTTTTTTTTTTTATTGTTGAGGTTTTTTTTAAGATGCTGATATATTCAGGATATTAATCTTTTGTCAGATGGGTGGTTTGAAAATATATTTTCCATTCATTTTGATGTCTCTTCACTCTATTCATTGTTTCCTTTGCAAAAGGAAAAGGTTCTAAGTTTGATATGGCTGTATTTGTTTAGTTTTGCTTTTGTTGCTTGTGGTTTGTGGGTCTTGTCTAAGAAGTTGTTCCCTATACCAATGTCTTGGAACAGTTCTTCCAACAACTTCATAGTCTCAAATTTAAGGTCTTAAATTTAAGTTTTGGATCCATCTTGAGTTGATTTTTGTATGAAGTGGGAAGTATGAATCTAATTTCATTCTTCCACATACATACATCCAGTTTTGCCAGCACCATCTATTTAAGAGACTATCCTTACTCCACTATACAGTCTGAGTATTTTCATCAAAAATCAGTTGGCTCACTGTATGTGGATTAACTTCTGGACTCTCTATTCTGTTCCATTGATCTATGTATTGGTTTTTATGCCAAAACCAAGCTGTTTTAATTATTATAGTTTTTGTATGAGTTGAAATGATGCTTCCAGCTTAATTTTTCTTGCTCAGGATTACTTTGGCTATTTGGGTTTTTTGTGATTCCATATAAATTTTAGAATTTTTTTACTCTGCAAAGAATTCCATTACCATTTTGATAGAATAGCATTGAAACCATAAATTGTTTTAGGTAGTATAGACATTTAAATGATATTGATTCTTCCAACCAATGAGCAAGGAAGATTTTTCCAATTTTTTTGTATTCTTGATGATTTTTTAAGATTTATTTTACTCAGAATCAGCCCTTAAGGCATGAGGATCCTGCTGAAAAGCCCATGAGAGTATTTCAGGCATGGAAAGCCAAGACACTCTGGCAAAAGATCTCTGTGAGTGAGATCCCAGTGGAAAGAACGGGTCATCAAAGAAGGAGGTACCTTTCTCTGAAGGGAGGAGATAACTTCCACTTTGACCATGGCCTTGTCTAAATATGATCAGAGTTGCTGAATTCAGAGGGCTTCCATAGCCTTGGCAGCTCATGACAAGAGCCTAGGGAGATTACTGATGCCATAAACAAGAGTGTCAATTTGTTAAGTCAACAACAGGAGTCACTGTGCACTTACTCCTCATGTAGGATCTTTGTCCTTAGTGTGCTGTACATTGAGATTTAATGCTATAACTAGTACTCAAACAGTATTTTTCACTTTATGTTTCTGTGTGGGAGCAAACTGTTGAAATCTTTACTTAATGTATGCTAAACTGATCTTCTGTATATAAAGAGAATCTAAAATTTGGAGAATGGACCAGCAGATAGAAGCCCTCTCTCTCTCTCTCTCTCTCTGCCTCTCCTCTCTCTGTGTAACTCTGACTTTCGAATAAATAATAAATAAAAAGAGACAAGATCATAGGTGAAAAATATAACTATGTGTGTTTACATATAAATTAAAAAGAAAAAAGAAAAGCAATAGTGAGAGTGGGCGTCAGTCTGGTTCTGGACCTCAGTGGAATGCTTCAATTTTCCCCATTCAATAGGATGCTGGCCTTGGTTTTGTCATAAATTGCCTTAATTGTGTTGAGGAATATTCCTTCTATAGCCAATTTGCTTAGTATTTTAATCATGAAAGGATGTTGTATTTTATCAAATGCTTTCTCTCCATCTATTGAGATAATCATATGGTTATTTTCTTCAGTTTGTTAATGTGATGTATCACATTGATTTGCAAATGTTGAACCATCCCTGCATAACAGGGATAAATCCCACATGGTCCCAGTTAATGATCTTTCTGAGTATTGTTGGATTCAATTGGCTAGAGCTTTGTTGAGGATTTTTCTCATCTATGTCATCAGGAAAATTGGTCTGTAATTTTCATTCTCAGTTACATCATTTTCAAGTTTAGGAATTGAGGTGATGCTGGCTTCATAGAATTTGGGAGGATTTCCTCTATTTCAATTGTTTTTAATAGCTTTAGAAGAATTGGAGCTAGATATTCTTCAAACGTTTGATAGAATTCAGCAGTGAAGATATCTGGTCCTGGGCTTTATTTGTTGGGAGGATCTTTGTTACTGATTCAATTTCTGTCTTAGTTATGTGTCTCTTTAGGTTTTCTCTGTCTTAATGGCTCAATTTAGGTGGGTGGTATGTGTCTATAAATCTATCCATTTTTTTTCTAGGTTTCCTGGTGTGTTTGCATACAGCTCTTTGTAGTAATTTCTGATGATTCTTTTTATTTCTGTGCTGTCTATTGTTACATTTCCTTTTTTCTACAATAAATCCATTTATTTTGGATCTTCTCATTCTTTATTTGGGTTTAATGGGGCTCAAGGGCGGGGTCAAACTTTCTTT